GGCAGCAGCAGCCGCTGGTAGGGCGAGCCACCCCGTCCGGACTCAGGCTTCCCGCTTGTGCCACCCTGCCCTTAGCTGGATCCAATATGCAATTACTGGCAGACGTACTACACACAATGTAAAACTGAGAAGCATACTTTACTATTGCCAGCTAGTGGGTGGTGTAACTGGACTGAGGTTCAAAAGCCAATCTGTCCCTTTTAGAGAGAATAAGCTACATTTTACCAGTGGGTAATAACAAGATTTTGCTTGTTTATTCTTCACTCTATGTGTAAGATTGACTCACCTCTACAAACGATGGGGTTTACAGAGGCAGAAAAAGAAGAAACCAGAAATCAAAAAGGGAGAGACTGCTACATAATTATATTAGGCCTATAAATATTTCACAAAGCAAGCAATAATTATGTCAACATGGGGACAATCTAACTAACAAAAGTCCAAAGCCTTTATGATTTTCTGTGCATCTGTTTTTTCTGGGTTTTAATGTTTTAATGTAAAATTCTAAGTAAAAATCTAATTTCAAATATGTTAGTGTGTATGTATCATGCGCAGGCCAGTACATGCTCCCAGTTTCATCCACATCTAGGCTATGCTCTAAAACATCTTATTCAAACAAAAAAAAAGCCCTTCTCTCACTTTAACAGTCAGGAGAGTACCAAGGTTAACAAAATACTTGCCTTCAGGTGTGGAAAGTATCTAGCTGAAGATATGTAAGCTTATGCACATGAAAAATAGTAAAAGAGATTCAGAATACTCTCAATAAAAACAATTAATAATCTATTTGTGTGTTGAAAATATCCTGCGGACAGAAGGAAGAAACTATTATCTGAAAGCAGGTATAATTAGGGTAGATATTGTGAACAAACCTTAAGTTGTTGTATTGTAGTTTATTTGATATGTTTGATTACTTTAATATATTTGTGTTTCAGTAGCTCATTCGATACGTAACTAACCCAAGTTACGAGGAATATCATTAGTTGCCTTGTGAGAGCTTCATTCCTTTTCCTGTAATATGCCGTGCTAAACAATGGAACACATAACTATTCTGCAGGAACACCTGGTCACTTAGAAGCTATAAAAATGCTGTCATCTTGCACTTGCTTGGTGATGTTACTGCTTTTTTAAAAGAGGGTGTCTGTTCCATCTGGGGACTTACGGGTCTTAATCTGGCAACCATGAAAAACTATCTAAAAGGATTACTAAAATAAGTCCAAAGCCTGGACATCAATGTATATGAACCAGTTGAGTTGCACCTTTATACACCACGTCTGTATTTCACCCTATGTATTTAAACTTCTTTACAGTAAGTGCTTGTGTGGTCTGGTAATGGACAAATGTGATGTTCTTAACTTTCTTTGTAAATACCCCTGGTTGACTGAAGGATCATGAATATATATTTCAAAAATGATAAACTGGAATTCTTTAAGGCTTGATGTTATGCTAACAGGCCTACTAAGATCTAGCTTGAGTGGCACAGATTCACATGTTAAGTACTCATAATACAAAATGCACAGCAAAAGTCCTGGTGAATAAAGTAGTGAAAATCTGTGGAAAGTAACTGACTTGGATTGCACATCTGCAGCTTTTAACAGCCTCACTCTATTCTGCCCGTTTTAAATGAGAGATACAATAACCAAAAAGGTGACTTTATATCATAGACCAACAGGAAAATGTCACTTCCGTCTACAGATAAGCATTACCTGTAAACACCTTCCTTCCAAATACTAAAACAATCTTCCCAACAAAAAGTTAACGCTTACACCCTGAAAAGAGTAATAGAAAAACAAAAATACCAAGACTTTGCAAGTTCATTTTCACTCTCTCTGAAAGAAGACACTTCTTCCTATTTTATAATATTCCAGAGAACCAATTAAACAAGTCAGGCAAAACTGACTGGTAGTTCCAAGGCAAAGTCTCTAAAGGTCCCTAACATTTGAATATGGAAAATACACCCCTCTTGGAGTGGCTATATTAAATTCCTTTTTATAGGAAATTGACTGCTCTTTTCCCTACGTCAAGAACTCTGAGAATATTTTACAAAAGGCTTATAATGAAATTGCCCTCAAATCCCAAATGACATCAGTGCTACATATTGCACTGAGTAGTTAAATAATTACATTACAGATCTAATGGCTAGATTATTTTAATCAACTTGCAGAGAAAAGAAATGGGAGTGTTTATTGGGGAGGAGCCCAGGTGATTTAAAAGCCTGTCCATCACTGGAACTCAGCTTAATTTGATTCTGAAATGGTGTTCACTGTTTATTGAACTCTTTCCATATTATTACAATATCATAGTTAATACTTCCCATGGATCTTAAGACGACTACGTATCCTTCACAGTTACTTTTTCTCACCAGGTTCCTTCATCCTTTATTATTACATTTCACCTTTTCAGGCAGCGTTACAGTTGATAAGAGAGGTGAATTTTGGACAGGGACCTTAGAAGTAGATGGATGATGGATTTGGCTTCAAGTCAAAGATTTTAACTTTAAATGTATACTTCATTCTTTATTAAGTGAATAACACCTATATAGAGATGCTTTGCTGAATTGAAGCCTGGATGGCTATAGTTGTGAAGCTTTTTCACTTTGAGTAAGGAGACATGTTGCAAGGTCTCTTGAGATTCCTTGTAATGGAACCTACCTACCTATGAAAACATGCATTTTATGCAATAGCTTATCTAAAAAAAGCTAAAATTGCCTGAGATGGGAACATAAACTGACAGACAGTGTGACTGCATATACTTTGGTTTCCTGGAAAGCCAGATAAAACACTTTTAACATAGTTCCACAGGGTTTTCAGGGAAAGCAGAATTAATGAGAAATTAAACTGGTAGGGACTAGACTCTGGCCTCTAATTATTCTAGAAACTTTACAAAGAATCATGGTGTATTTTCTCATTTCTGAGTGGTTATTTTGTTAACGATGTCTTTGAGTGATGAGAAAAAGATGGGAAAAACTAGCAAAGGAGTTCCATCATCTTCCTATTTCCCTATACAGAGGGAGACAGCTAGTTATGTGGTACTTATAAACTGGAGTGTTGGGTTAATCGCTGCCACTACTGATGAATCAGGATCAAAATGTAAGCCATTTATTCTAAGGGAAAGAAAAAAAACCATAATGACTTGGAATATTTGAAGTCCCTGTGAGCCAAAGGTTAACCAAAGGAAATGGAGTGATTACTGCCTCACATTTATTCATCTTTTGAATAAGGTGACCTTTTTCTGGATGATGTTTTAAAGTTGTCTTTTTAACCCTAAATTTTTCCTTCTTTTTTCATTTTTGCAAATTTTGTTCTATTATGACTGAAATTAATGTTTTCAGTTATTTTGACAAATAGTCTGAATAGCTGTTTTGCTAATAAGAATCATTAGTCATGATGCTGGTAGACACTAGGTTCTGGAAATTCCAGTTTGGGACACAATAGGTTCATCTATTATGGGACGGTATTATTACTGCTATCATACTTTGCTTTGTTTCAAAGTATGTCTACTTGGTTTCTACTTTGGCATCTTTTTATATTAAAAAAAGTCATCTGGGGAAATTGAAAATCAGTACAAAATTGCATAAATAGTCCTTTTTGAAAACAGTTGCTTTTGAACAGCCAAATCCCAAGCATTTTTAGAAAGCCTTTCAAAAGAATCAGGGCTCAAACAAAAAGAAATTTTATGGAAAAGAAGAAAAAAGCTATGTTTAGCATGGTGTTCGTTGCATTAACATCCTTAAATGAAGTTTTTTCATTTATGTTTTAAACAGTCCCAAAATGGTGCAAATATGAATCTGCAGACTTTTCAGGATTTCTCTCTCTGGAACATAGTGCAGAGCTCAGGCCTATTTCTAAATTTGACTTTTTTTGAAACTTGGATTAAATGAAAGAGTGAATTTTGTAAATAATTTACAAGAGTTAAAGCTATCCAGAACTCCTCATTTCAGTAGAGAAATGTAAATACCTGTCTACTGCTAGAAAGGCAGACTAATTTAACATGTGATTTTTGTCTCTTGTAATGTTTTCTTTTACTGTAATACTTACCACATAGCAGAGCAGTCAAAATTCACCAGGAGCCATTTGTGAGGATTAAAATTAAATGAATCTGCAAACTGAGAATGGATAAATAAAAAACAGAATTATGAAAGAGAAAAGGATCCATGTGTTCATGATACAACTTTGCCAAATTGTCTGAATACACCTAACTATGAGTGAATTCCTGAATTGCAGATAATGTGCATGCTGATGTCACCTTACTTAATAACTATTGTAGTTAAATCTTCATTTATTTTGGGGATGGAATTCAGGTTAGGTGTGCAGCTAGGCTATTGGTATTATCAACATTTTGAGCATTTGCTAACAATTATTTTTTTAGATACATATGTTATGGAAAGCATATATCTCAGTGTAAAGTTAAAAAAATCTGCATACTCAGGAACATCCACTGTGCTTCATATCCCAGTTTCCAATAACAATTCACTAAGCTTTCTATTTCCAAGAATATTAAACATATAAACACGAAATTCAAACATAGAGGCAAATGATATATTTAGTTCAGAATCTGCATATCACATTCATTCATAAAATTACAACTGGCCAGGAAATTACTTTTTTTTTTTTTTACTGCCAGGGTATTTTCTTTTAGTAGAAGTCATTTTTTCATCTAAGTCAAAAGAAAAACCAACACAGAATAAGCATTCACAGCACGTGTTTATATAAAACATGTAACAGGCCCGTTTTACTTGACATATGTTTAGGCGTGGCGTCAGAGGAAACCCAGGTAGGTAAGATGGACATCATGTGGGAAAGGCTTCGCTTGTGTTTTGTGTGGTAACAAAGGCAGAAGCTATCAGCCTTAAAACAGAGGTGGGGGCCTGGCAGCACCAGGGGCTAACTACTCCATATAGCTCTTTTTGGTTCTCATTTGCTTCTCATAACCTTCCCTGTCACTTGTAAGCAATTAACAATTGCTCTCATAAGAGGAGATTGTCTCTCTCTCTCTCTGTCTATCTATCTATGCATCTATCTAGCTATCTCCCTGTACTATGTAAGGTAAGAAACGTATTCATGGTTGATAAATATTTACTCTTATGACAAATGCTGGCCCAGACAAGGTATGCTGTTTCATTTCCTTCAGGAACCAATAACAATAATTTAAAAAATATTCCCCCACAGGAAATTACAACAAGCTTCATTTGCTGATAAAAAAGAGACTGAAAGAAATGCTTTATTTGTTAGGGGGGTTTCCCTCCTCTTCTTCATTAGTCACTACCTATCAGTGCTGTGTTTAAACTTCTGGCTTTACCAAACAGTAATATTTTCTCCACTGACATGGAAGACAAGGACTTATCTCACTGTCTGAGGGGAGCAGCAGGAAATTGAAGTATTCTTATCTAAGCAACTGAATGCCAAGTAGCTGAGCGAGGCAGGGGAAAAGGAACAGGAGTGCTGTTGGAGGAATATTTCATTTAGCTCTCTTGGTTATTAAACCCTGTCTGTTTGAGATACAGCTACTGGTTGCATCCTATATGACTTTCAGGATGTAAGCTAAAACTCAGACATAATGAGCTTGTTAATTTGTTGAATGTCTTTTTTTTTTTTTTCTTCTTTGTTTGTGTAATGTAGAATTAGGGTGTTACAAACATGCTTTTTTGGATATTTGTAAAAAAAGTTCCTCTTTTCTATTTTGTAAGACACTTTGTTGATTCACTACTACTTCCTATTCTGAATGACAAAGTTTTAGTGTGGTAACTCACATACTCCCAGAATAAACCAGTAAAAATTATATAAACAAAAGTGATGTAATAGAATATACAGCGATTTGTAGTGCAAAGTGAAGTGTAGCGTACTCAGAGATTCTAGAAGAGCCACTAATGTTGGATGCATAAAAAATACACATATTCTATGGGAGAGCAAGGTTTTAGCGGCTGCTAGGGGAAGAAACACTTCATTCACCTCCACTCCATTTAAAAGATGCCTGAATTCAGGGCAGATGAATGCACTCCCAGCATAGGCTGCATCAATATGCATCCAGATATTTTCCTTCTTACCTAAAAAAAAAAAAAAAAAGTAACTGAAGGGGAAATAAATTAAACATCAGATTAAAAAGCTCTATTAATTTGCATGAAACCAAGTGCCTGAGAGCTTTTTCTTTGATGTTATTATTTTTCCAATTTAAAATTAAATTAAGAGATTAAATGTTTCTACCATCTGGGTTTCCGTTAATACATAAAGATGTATACATAACATATTCTTCTTCCTCCCCACTTCTACTGGAACAGACTCCTTACATGTCTAGGTTTATCTTATTAATATTAAGCAGCATAAAATACTAAATAATTTTGATTTAAGAACCATTATAAAGTACACTTTTAAAAAATTTATCTGGAGATGTAGTTATTTCTATGGTAATAAAACTATCTACTTTTTAGCAAGAGGAGCTAGCGTTTTAGCTGTGCTTCCCACTTCTAACTCATGAATCACAAACACACATTTCTAAACAGTATTCTTTACATATTGATATATGTGCATGCTTATGAACTATGTGCAGCAAACTTTATTTCAAAGAATGAGACACTTGTGCAGGAGCAAGCATTGAAAGGTTAAGAAAGTGCTAGCTTTGATTAGTCACTGAATGGTTTCTGCAGAAATATTTTAGCATGAGCCTCATGTATTCTTTGTAATGTAGTATTCACGCTCTGCTATAGATCACTTGTATTAATGCACATGGTAACAATTCTGGTCTATGAGTCGATGACAGAAGCCCATGTAACATCTTTACATTGGTCACTACGTAGTTCTGATGGGTATTTCCACATACAGACGTATATCCATTCAGACCTGCAGTTGGGCACCAAGTTCATGCTGGAGTTTGCATTCTTGTGAACTACATTTTCTTCTTGCATAAATGGCTGGGAAAAGCTAATAAAATATTATTTGTAACATCCACGACTTTTAGGTTTATTTGAAAACATGTTCAAAGTTCAACTGATTATTTCTTTTTAAATATACTTAGTTTGAGATGCTGCCTTTATTTCATAGGACTACTGCTCATGTATATTAAGAAAATTCACCTGCACGCAGAATGATTTGAGTAGTGTGTAATCCTTCTGCTGGTCTCTACGGCACAAGCAGGAAATCGCTGAGAGCAACTGGTGAAACACACATGATTGGTTGCTATACCTAAAAGTATCAGTGTCGCTATTTTATTAGGTCAAGTCTGTAGGAATAACCTGAATAGCAAAATAATCTCTAGCTGCTAAGCAGACTACTAGAAACCTTTCCAGAAAGGAGGAGTGGGAGCAACTGAGTGTCTGGGGCTTGTGCTGAAGGAGAGGAAACCTCACAGAGCAAGTCACCACCACATAAACACCAAATATTTTAGGCCCCACCTGAATAAATTAACAGAACATCAAATCTAGCTGTTTTTCCTATAAGGCTGCTTCCAATTGCTTATAGTTATATATTTCCTGTTCTAAATGTACGCTTGAATAGATATGATGCACTTCTGTTGCATTTTCATCAGCCAACAAGAGTGTGCTTTTGACCAAGCCTTGCTGCAGATCAAAGCTTGACGCAACAGACCGTAACACAGAAATGCTTATGAAGAGTCCATGACTTGGTCATTGTATTAAACACCCTGGTACTTATCCTGTTTTCTTGCAAGAGGAAGGAAATTGGGGAAGGGAGAGGAAGGATTAAGGAGCATGCATGTAGATTTTTGGTGCATATTTCCCAGCCTTTTCTAGTCTTTAGAACCAGACAGAAACAAAAAGCTTGGTGCAGAGGAGAATTAGAATTCAGCTTTTCTCTTATCTTCACCACTGCTCTAGATGCACTTGCAGGTAGAAGGGCTTAAAGAAACATGTAAAAATCTGAAGCACTTACAGTATTTTTTAACAGTGTTCCAAAATATGGCCCCTCCCAAAAAAAACCCCAAAAACCACCTTGAGGCAATGGCATCTGTACTCTTTAACAGTCTGAGAATGCAAGCTTGCTGCTTGACCTAATATTAGAAAGTAAACTGTAACTGAAGGTCTCATCTATAAGCAGCCCTATTGAATTTGGACACTGACACTGCGTAATGACCTGGAAATGACTTAGCACGGCTGAAACTGGTATCTGCAATTTTAGAAAGTAGCAGCAAAGACTTACAAATAGGACCCAGTTCTAACAGTTTGTCAAAGGAGCAGCAAGGTGTGGTTCCAAGTGTTGCACAGAACTGCAGAGCCAAAAAGACAAAGGCAAAAAAGAAAATTGAGTGTTACAGCAAAGAAAATTATCAAATGAAAAAAAACTGTCTGCAAAGGCAACAATAAACAGAGAGAATAGATGATATAGGGCAAAATAAATTTATTTTAGCCAATACCTATCCTTCAGTAGAACTTTTGAGAATCTAATTTTTTTTCCAAAGCTCCCGTAAGCGTCCTTTGAGACAGATGCATAAAATCAAATGTTAATATAAAATTGACTGGTAAGTAATGTAATATAGTCCCAGTATTATATTAATGCTATATTTTATATATTTTCTATGTGTTCCACATGCTTATCGTGGTCCAATACTAGCCTCACATACGCAATTATGATTAACTTATTTGCAGTTTATGGTATATAAGCAAGCTCTGAACTTTAGCAACTTAAAAGTGCTGGAATTCCTGTTGACAGAATGTATCATAAAATGTTAATGCCTGAATTAAAGAACCACAGTTCTGTAACAGAGAATTGTAACTGATTTGTGCTCAACGGATCTGCAGCCTGGGACCTGTTCGCTAGTAGCATATGTTCACTACTAGGTTTGCAAGACTTTTTTCCAGAGAAACTTTTCCTCCCAAATTCATCCTAAAATGTTGGAATTATTCTTCCTTCATTCTCTTAATGTCTCGTTTAATGTATCCAGCTGCATGACCAGTGGGCCAAAAGCTGAAGGTTCACAGTAGAAAAATAACATAACTAGGTGATAATGAGCTATGGCAATTTACTGGGAATATGCACAACTACCAAGTGCATATAAGTGCTTCCAGTGGTTCCTTCTCTACATTGGACTTCTCTGGCTCTTCCAACATGCCAAGTAATATTTTCTATTTCTCGAGCGTCTGCTTAGTTTGTGCAATACAGTAGGTCATCTGCTATACTAGAGAATGTCCTCATTAAGAGCAGCATGCGTTGTTGTCATTGCTGCCCTAGCTGTGGAGCCGTGGCAGGGTGGGGACAAGCTGCCCGTGCCCAGCTGAGAGGTGCAGCTGGTGGCTTGAGTGTGGGGGACGGGACGGGCTCTTGGCCTGTTCGGTTACAGTCATCGTGATGTGAGCAAGCACTTCTGTAGCAAAGGATTTTGCTCATCTTTACATTACCTGATGTGGCCTTATATGCTTACAGCTTTTACTCACTCTGTCTAGCACAAGAAGCTTTCTACTTCTGAGAAAAATAATTTCATGTTATTATGCCAGTAGCAGATTTTTTGCCAAAATTCTATAGTCTGTTTTAGCCTAATATCACCTCTCAATTGCCAAGCTTATGCTCTTTTCTGTTCTTCTAGCTTGGACATTTGCATGCTGTCTCTCCTGCTTTTCACTGATATCTTGTTAATTCTAGGAGTTCTCACTACCCAAAAGTTAAACGATGCCAGCTTTTTCAGGAGGGTCTTTTTTCCCTTCTTTTTTAAAAGGTGATACACATTTGCACTAAGTATTTGTGCTCTAATTAAACAGACTGCTTGATGGCTACCAATATTTTACCCTTTTATTTGTTCCCTTCAACTCTCATCCTCATCCATAACTTGTCACCCGCTTTCAAGCTAGAGATTTAATTGACTTTTTCACTTCTACCAGCTATTGAATATTGGAGACTGCTACAGTTCATCTACGTCACATCTTGAAGCAGGTCCTGTACACACTTCTGGACTAAGAGTTTGTTTTCCCTCTGGGGGTTCCCTAACTAGTCCTCCCAATAACTTATGAAGTTTTAACATGTTTATTTATATTTGCTTTTCACATTTCCCATCAAGCATTTTTTTCTTCTTTTCATTCTATGAGATAAAGTGGCAACAGCACACTAGAAAGGCCTGACGTCTTGGAAAAAATAATCTGATTATGAGACAAAGAGTTGGATAAAAGTGATGGGATTTTCATTTGCAAGTTCCAAGTTTTTTAGAGAATTCACGCAAAGTGAGAGATGGTTGTTTTACTATTTATTAAACTAGATTTTTCAAAATCTCTAGGAAATCCCACGCTAACATAAACATCCAGTAAAAAGGGTAGGTGGATATGTATTCAAAAAACCAGAAATTTTAAATGATACATCCCAAGAATATTGAACTAATTCGATGATAATCTATTGCTAAAGAGGTAAAACTTCTCATTTAAATACACTTTTGAACATTTCTGCATCCATATTATACCATATACATCAGAGATATTTTAAATTGTTGTAGGGAGCTGAATTTTTCTGTTTAATGGAAGGTACTCAGATAGTACTTAATTCATATAAATTTATGTACACTCTTAGAGAAAGTCATATCCTGCTTTTATATAGGGTAGACCTGATTAAATGTAGTCATATAAAACCCTGAAAACATTTTATCCCTGACAGCGCACATGTTCCCCCAGCTTCACAATTACAGCAATATTAATAACTATAATCATGTTTCATTGCACCTATAAAAAGTATTGGCTATGGGAAAAGTTATTATTAGAATAAGAAAGGAAAAATTCAGTATTTTTTCCATATCAAGCTAGTAAGAACCTGAGTTTGAAACAAGTACAGTTCTGAAAATTAGAAGCACATTGAATATATAGTTAATAACATTTTGCTGCTAACACATTTTTCCCTCAAAATAATCTAATCTTTATCTATACTGGGCCTTCCCATATTCCTGAGACACATAAGAAGAACAGAATAATTACAGTGCCTTGAGGTACGTTTATGACTTCTCTGGAAGTTTAATCATCCTTTGAGGGAGGTTGCTTTAAAAAGATCGCTGGATGTTTTTTTAAAAAGGAATAAGTTTGTTCCCTATATTTTACTAAGAGGGCATGCATGTAGGGAGTGAAAATATATTTATTGCATTATTGTCTACCTAAGATGTTCCCTCAATCAGGAGAAACCTGCGTGTCATCTTTGGCTGAATTACAGATCTACAAATTGGGTCACAAGAAATGGAGGATATCGTGATAAAAATTCTACTTTTTCTATACACATATATAATAGGGGTTAACCCATTGGCTTGGAAAATACCCAAATAAAGAGTGCACTATAGACTTAGCTCTGCTTTTATACATGTATTTTATGATAACATGGTGTGGACTATCTGACAAGATTAGAGTGAAATTATCTTGGCTAGTCCAGCAGTTAAAGTAATGATGGAGATTTCACAACAGAAAGTTACACATTATTGTTATTAGCGGTTTACTGCAGTTAAAGTATTCTCCTTCTAATCAGGATAAGGAGTATGTTGCTTCAATTAGAGGTTGTATGAGTTCAAACATATGTTTAGTTGTTTAAATAATGGCTTATTCTGTAAAGTATACCTGTTTCTAAAAAAAAATAAAAAATTGTTGTCCTCTCTGCAGGTGTCTAAGCCTCAAAGCTACCTGTTTTCATTCTCAGAAACCACTTAAAGCAACAGCATCTGCTCTTGTCAGGACTCTCATTACCCTGCCTCAGTCTCAATGAATCTAACTCAATTTGTAACCTGTATAACACCGGCAAAATCACATTTGTGCAAAGGGTGGGGGACAGGCTGCATCACAGAAATGGGACTGATGGCTCAGTGTAGCCTGCAGGCCTTATCCTTTTCAGGCTGTGCACTTTAAATTGGACTCAGCCCTGGTTGTGAATACAAAGCAGCTAAAATGCTTGCATCAGTCATCTCATGTATTACTTTCCTGAAATCAAGAGCTATGTCAGGTAACATGCATGAACCTTTATGATGCCTGAGAGCAATGACTCTCAATCTTTCCAACTGGAAGACCTCCTACAGCTTTTGAAAAAGATGTGGACACATTTTGCACAGTTTCACCACAAAGCTTTTCATTTGTAATTAACTAAAATGAGGCAGAACTTTCAATGTTCTCTTATTATTTTTATTTTCTCCTTCTCAGTTTTTTGCCAGCTTGCACTCATGAGAATGTCTGTGGCTTGAAGAAAACTGCAACAGGTTACTAAACCACCATTCGGAATTTTATGAAAAAGCAATCTTTCAGAAACTGTGGGTTAAGAAACATCACCCTAGGCATCGGTACATTTCTCAAGAATACTTTTTGCAAACGGGAATCTGTGGTCTAAGTGTTAAACATCTACTGAAAAGACAGCTCCTCTGTCAGTCTAATTCCGATTTATTGTTTCCCGACTGAGTCCGGATACAAACAGCCTGCTTCTTAATATCCTGCAGATCATCATTTAGAAGAGTCATTTCAGCTAGAATCAGAGAGATTTCATGCTGAGCCTTTGTTCAGCAGCAAGGTGATCATGTTATAGCAGCTTTATACTGGATGAGGTTATTGAAGTATATTGTACTATATGTACGCCAGCTGCAATATATCAGTGTTGATTTATGAAAGACAGCATAAAGCTCACAGACCACTTACACACAAGACTTGAATGCAGTGGACCCTACATCTGAATCTAGCAGTGCTTAACCTAGTGGTCTGCACATTTGAGCACCCTGGTCAACATTCACCCAACATAGAAGCTTGTCTCAAGCTGGGAGCATAGGGCCCAACTGAGAAAGGCATTTACGCACGTGCTTAACCACCGGTTAGTGTTTATCATTAATGAAATGGACGTGACTTCAGCACATGCTTTAAAGCTCCCCCTTAACTGGTGGCCAGACGAAGGGCTGCATATCAGCCACACTTAGAAATTGCACCTTGGTAAATCATGGCAACTTTAGTGCCTCAACACCTGACATGGTTCAGTGCTTTGTTTGCAAAGTCTGCTTGCTTTACTATATGAAAATATCTCTGTTTCAATTTCTGCAAAAGTATTTTGAAAGAGACAAATTAACACAAGTCTGAACTTAGAAATAAAAAAAAGGAAATAAAAGTAGGGGTCTGGGTACACTAATTGGCAATAGCCTTTACTGAACAAAATAGTATACATAACGTATTACTAGTGCTAAAAGATAAAAGATATCGATGGTGGATGGTCTCATTTTAAAGACAATGCCCCTCCCCAAAAAAGGCTGACTGCCAAATCCTATGTACGTGAAAAGCAAACCTTTAATTACCAGATTGCTGTAATGAGAGAACCTGTTTCACGTCAAGCAAAATGCACCCCTGATTCTCCACTCACCTCTATAAGCAAAGCGCTTCTATCGAGTTCAGTATAATGATTCCTCATTTATTCATTAAATATAGGAGGAGAATCATGCCTACAAGGCATTGTAATTTGCTTGTATTTTCTTTTTAAATCCCCCACTAAATTTTTTTTTTTTTTTTTTTTTTTTTTTTTCTGATAAGGGAGACTGCATCAGCTTGGATGTAACCAGGATCTCTTCATTAGGAATGATATCTCTGCTGTCTCTTCAGGCAGAATTTCTTCTGTTAAACTTTTTGCTTTGATGTTGAATCACTCCCCTTAGTGAAGGATCAGTGAATACAGGGAGACAAGGAATAAAGTGGAGTAAGGTGTTTCCTTGGCAATGCGCATATCTTTGTCACCAGAACAAAATAAAATAGCACCAAATTACTCAAGAACAAAAGAAATGGAAAGGCTTTTGAAATCTGCAAGCCAGAAAAGGGAGCACTAACACAGTGCATGGACTGCTGCTCAGCATGACAGAGAATTAACACACCTTTTGAGTTAAGAGGCCAACCATAAGGATAATGAGATCTAGTTTAATCTAAGCTGACATGTTTTATGTATACAAATAAATGGAAGACCTGGCACAGGCCATATTAACTCAGGCAGAGCCTCTACTGTCTTTGAAAGCCTGTTTTGCACAGCTAAGCAAACAGAGGAAGAAAAACAACAGTTAATTCACCCTTTGTAAAGGTGTAACTGAATGCATAAACCAGAATTTTTTATTTCTTCTTGCCACACATAGAAAAATTAATAAGGAATGAATATTTATGAGGGGCAAGTTGCATTTTTTTTTTGTTAATGGACAAAAGATGAGGAAAAACACATTAAATTTGTAATTAGTGTGGACAGAGATGTGATATAGTGCTGTACTTGTAATTTTTTAAAATTAACAGTAAGATAAACAAGTAGAATCTTATATAAGATATTATAAGCTAGTACCACATAACAGAGAAATAAAACATTCCTTATGGCACATTTCTACTTCAATAGGTGCAGCCCACAGGAGAAAGTTCATTTAGGCAGCATTATAGATGCTTTGTTTCTCAGTCATAGTCTTATTATATTGCAAAGTAATTGATGGGATGTGCTTGATCATCCCAAGGACACTCGTTAGTTCTAGGCAGGCTAGAAATTAGCAGCATTCTGCACACATGGAAAAAACTTTTCCCCCTAGTCATCCTCATACTACATAAAAACAGACACTAAAGTTTAATAACAAGAAGAGTAAAAAGATTACATTTTCAAAAGAGCTTGGTGAAATTTAAGCTTCTTTGTCCTGTTTGGCACTTATCCATGATTATAAACAAGCTTAATCTGCTAATTCTTCTGAAAACAGCTAATAGAAATTTAAGTCACATTAGCCCTTTTCAAAATGTTACCACATGAAAGAAAACAAAAAAAATCATCCTCAGACATGACTTTTCAGGGAAAAAAAGGGACATATTTTTGACTCTATTAAAAAAATTCCATTTTTAATGCTCTCGGTTTTCCTCCAATTTTTCTTCAGTGGAGGCCAACAAAAACATATTATTGGTAGCATATTATATCCCTTTATAGATCTATACAGATCATGGTCTATATCAAGTTTTGTAGAGGCATAATGCTTGGAAATGAGCAAAATTTTTTGATGGTGTACAAAACCACAGCAGAGGTTACTTACTCCATGAAAAAAAACAAATGGTAAACTCTTGCTTTAACTTGAAATAATAAGATGGTGTTCTGAACTGATAGGAGGAGTAGATCTGATGAATAAGCAAATATTCTTTTCAATGAGGTACTTATCATGTTAGAAACAAACTTTAGAACAGTATCCAATCTAACACTGTTTTGTGTCAAAAATTGGGGGATTATGAGCTTTATCTACTGAGATACGAACATTTGCTTTTGTTGGACTGCTGTGGAAGCAGGAATCTCTGGAAAGGAAAGTGGACAGATAACAAGAAATTATGTCAACTTTAAAATTCCACAGCCAGACTGCCTATAGCTCACCTGTTAGAGATAAGTCACATACTCACAAATACCTGTCTGACAACATCTGATCTTGCTGATATTTGGGGTACGTTATAGAGGTTGATTTCTTTGCTAAAGTAGTGAGGAGGAGAAACTATTTTTTCTTGAAAATACTTAAGTGTGAGATACAATCATTTAATTTATTGCCTTTAAACTTGTTTTATGTGTGAGCTAGAACTTGAAAAATAAAAGTATACTTTTGTGAAAGAGGCAGTTCAGAATTCAAATGTTAGGAGATTATAACATTGCAGGATTACATGCAACTACAAAATTCACCTGCATTTATTCAACTGTCTAATATAAGTTGAAGTCCTTTTAAACCATCATTTTTGCTGAGAAGTGCAACCAGCTGCTCAAATGAGTTGCTTATACTGCACAGAAAGGTGTGTGAAGAACACTCACGGAACCTGTCCTAATATTCTAGCTAGGCTGCCTGTCAATCCCTCTGTTAGGGATGAGATCATCTACTCATGTCAAAAATAGTTTTTCAGAAGCAATAAATCTACTGATTAATTAAAATCCAGTACTCACAAAGAATGGGATAAGACCAGAAGCTTTGTCTTCATCCAAAACTTTCTTTAAGGCTGAACCACAAACACTAAATGTATCATCTGAAGAAACATTTTTAATCTTCACACCACCAATTAACGCAGCCCTTTCCACTGATGAATGAGCCTAGAAGTAAATGGGCAAGTTTTAAGACAGATATAGCTTTTATTGGAATGTAAGAAGTTCATTTGAATTTGAAAACAAAAAATAATTTCTTTCAAGTAAAGCAGTACTTGAGATCCTGTGACCGTTACTGGTATGTAACAGATATGTACCTCTCCCTCTTTCATATAGATAGACAGATGGACATAGCTACATACATATATATACATACACACACACAAATACACTAATAGAAACCCTGAAGTATTCTTGAAACCATTGCCATGGCATCATTCAGACAAGAGTTCAATTAACCTTAGTGAGAGCTTTAATTAACATGTTCACAATTAGGTTGGATTGATTAAGAGCTTCAGGATTTGGCTCCAAATCAACCAAAAGACATGCGGATAATCAGCTTGCCTGATAATGATTCAGTTGCTCACTAGCATATTTTTATGGCATACAGCTTTGCTGAACCCTAAAAAAATATACATCATGGTATAGTATAGACTGAGATATTTTCTTACAATTTTTTTAGATTACCTACTGAATAAATTGTGGTTCAATCGTTCATTCATTTTGGTAGGCAATTAAGGATCATTCCCAATATGATATTTTATGTATAACCCATTTTATTTGAATTCCTCTTAAATAATATTTTTAGAATATAAAGTACATCTCAGTAAATAAAAACAAAGATATCACTATGGAATTCTTATAAAATTCTGAAGTACAATACTATAACTCTATGACCAGTAAAAGGTATGTTTAGCCACAAAATACTCTCCTTTAGAGCATGACTAAAACAAAAAAAAGCTGTTTGACCTCCTATCTTCTACAATTTCATTAATCACCATTAATTTGGAAAAGAAAAAATCCTCACCTTTTCATGTTGTGACTATTCTCATTCATAATCTCCATCCTACCCTTGTTGGTTCTTGCTAGTGCCTACAAGAGCACTTGCTAATTCAATTCTAATTTAGCATATAATCATGGAAAAGATTAAACCAAAACGTAGGTTAAACAAGACCAGGTGAAGACAAAGTTTCTGCCTTTCAACTTCAGACATCCTTGGAATGATGCGTTTTGAAGGCAGATTGACTATTAACTTGTATCTCAGCAGTACCTCTTGTTCAAGTCCTTTGGCAAACTAATTAGGCACCAGCTTGAGAGTATATGGAAGTCTAGACTTGAAATATAACTAACTGCTTTTGATGTGAAAAAAAAATGTGTGTACCATAGCAATACTATACTTCATTCAAGTGTACAATGGAAAGAGGTATTTTATAACAGATTTATACAAGAATTGAAATAAATGAACTATAACAATACACTGAGGTTGTTAGCCAGTCAGAACCGCAGAATTCCTTCAAGTCTCCAAAATTGTAGTAAGGCTATCTCATAACTACAGCCATTCACAATCTTAAGGTTAAAACTGCCAAGATGCTTTTGCATTATAACAAATCTTTAGTGACTCGCTGCTGCATAGAATTCCTAGTCCTCAGCAAAGTAGTTGGGAATCTCCCACCATCCTTGAGGAGAGCAAGAAACCAAACAGAAATCAGTGAAATGAGTGGGCAGCTGCTTAAAGTAGCCAAAGAAACATGGCAAAAAAAAAAAAGTTGATGAAGAAATGGCCTGAGAAAATTTGAGAATATTGAAAAACTACCCTGACTCCGTCCTGGTCCCAAACAGTCAGGTTTTTACTGTCAGGCGTAGCTGGATGCTTCTCTTAGCTCCGAGGTCTTACATGATGTCCCTTGCAAGAGGAACCTCAGCCAGGTTAGCTGGCACTAAAACAGACAGGGATCCTTTTCTGTTGTCTCCAAATCCCCAAGTTGTTATTAGGGAAAGCTTTGTTGTCAGTATTCATTGACACAAAGCAAAATTATTTCAGTGGGATAAAGATTTTCCCCATATGCCAACAAATTAAAATGATCTCCCAAGATATACGAGATCTGAGTTCAGCTTTCTGCTCTGTGTCTCCTTACCGTCCAACTTTTCACCTCCCTCCTAATGCATCCTTCCAGTGTTGTGTTCTGTCAGTGCATGGTTTTCTCTCCCACAGAATGGTTTAGGCTTAGTTTCTTTTGTGGATTATTGCCTATGAGTCACACAGGTCTGCTCTTAATGCAGAAGGACCGGTGAGCTCTGGAACAATCTGCTTTGAAAGGTCAGCAATATCTTAAGGCAAATCCTTCTGCAAGCATAAGATCCTCTGACCTTCAGTAAGCAGGAAGGCCTGTCAGTCCTCATTTCAGGTCAGCTGCTTACATGTGACAAAAAATGAAAACAAGTAAAAGGCTTTGTGCATCACTGGGTCAGAGTTTGAGCTCTGGGACTGGCAGTCTGTGCAACACCAACCTTAGGGTCCCAGGCCAAAAAGGGACAAATATCCTTTGTGCCTTTTGAAAACAGTTATTCTTCCTCCTATTTTATTGTCCTGATTCTTCTCACCCTGCAAGTGTGGTCCCTCTTCCCACCAGCAAAGAGCAAGTGTACTTTTAACTTGTTCTCTAGTGCTTTTTACCATGCACATAGTAGTAAATCCAGGTAAGCCTGGCCATCTTGTTACGCAGTATCAGAGATTACTTTAAACAAAACACCAAGTTTCTTCTTTCTCATTGACATTTAGATAAGAAAATGTCACAGCTATTGAAAGAAACTGCTTGGCCCTTCAGTAGCATTAGTGTGTCAGAAAGGTAGGAGCAGCAGAACTCACAAGACTAAAATTTGCTTTCATTAACAGTAAAAGCCTCTCATGATCCTGGCCTGCTGAGAATTTAGCCTAACTCAGTCTGCGAAATACCACTCACAGTCAGAAATTGAGGATTATGTTTTCTGTTTTCTTAGAAGATTTCTTAGCTGGATTGATACATGAAGATCTTAGGAGGTTTTTTCTTTTAAAAACATGATAATGTTTTGGGCTTCTTCAAGTACTGTGACCAATTTTCTTTATATTCATGCACTAGGTTTGTCTGTGTGCACGTACCTGCACCCATGCATGCATACAGGGGGAGGATGTATGTGTGTTTGTTTGCACATGTGTATGTAGGAGGAAAATAATGTGCACACGTGGACACACAAGCCTAGATGTGACAAAAGATAGTCTAGACTTAACACAACTGAAATTACCGCCTTACTCCAGTATCTTTATTTAGTTCAGATGAGCTCTTTTTGTAAAGAAGCAATACTTATGTGACACTGACCACCAGATATTTGTTCTTTGTATAATGGTAGCACACATGAGATTCCACTCCATTTTTGATGTACAATAAGATTCAAACAAGCAAAACCAAATAGTCACCAATCCAAAGAGTTTATACTTAACTCACCTGCTTATTGAGATGGCTGAAATTGCTAAGTATAGGCCCCATGTTTCCATGTTTTCGACAGGTACTCACCTGATCAGAAGCATAGGCCACCAGCCTACCCATGATGTCTGCTTCTGTTAGCTCAGGCTTTTCTGACTGCACCCGTCTGATAGTTTTTGTTCTTGCAGCAAGCAGTGAAATCAGGGTGGCCTCGCTTGCACTCCCCTATGGGACAAATTGAAGGCAGGTTCAAAAGGAAGACATTCCAGAAGAAGAAAAGCAACGTTTTCTTCTGTAGGAATTTGCAAAGCTGTTAACAGAAACTGCATATGAGAAACTGTGCAATCTCATGGTTTTAAGAATATGTGTGACAGCAAGGGAGGAATCCTGTTTCATCTTGGTTTCCTCCTTCCTGACGCCTTTGTCTGCTCTCTTTAACCTCTACACTTGTGCAGTTTAGGCACCAGCCTTGCAATCAGTGCTAGAAAGCTGGAATCACAGATTTAAACGCATGTGAGAAGGCTCTCGAACCAGGCACCAATCGTTTGTTAACCAATAACTACAGCAGAGTAGCTATTGATTTCTGTTACTCTGGATTTCCGCACATTTAATTTCCATTAGAATCTGACTGTCAATTCTCATATCTATCAAACAACATGCATAATTATAATGCTTATTTAATATCTAGCATTACCCTGGGCAAGTCAATTATTGTGTCTAAAAGAGAAAAAACAAAAGCAAAAAAGCTATGATTCAATATAGCTAACTGCATTTCAAAGTATTAGTTATGTACATTTTCTTCATCAAAAACACACAGAGGAAAGGAACAGTCACACAGTATTTCTAAATTGCACTTTGACTCACAAAACATTAGTTTAAATTGTATCTTGGATACTCTATGACAACAGAGAAGGGATTTTTTTTGTATCAATCGATCTGTAAATTTCACAAAAGAATACAAGTACCTGCAAATTCTTTTTATGATTTTCTTTTAGAACAGGCAGATGAAACATGCTCTAAACTACTTTTTTAAACTGTAAGTAACAGTTTGTAAACACATGTTCATTCATTTCAATGGTTTTGGGTGTCCATACACAAGATCAAGTTTTTAGGTACTTTCAAAGTTGAACAACTGTTGTGTGAATCTTTCTCTGCCAAGCACATAACCATGCAATTAATACAGTTGCTTATATTAATAAATATGTCTCAGAAATATCCCCAGTGCCAACAAGCTAATTTTGGAGTGTTGTTTCTTATCCTGTACCAAAATTCTATCCTCCCTCTGTTGAAGACCTGTGTATACTTAGTAATTGCAACAAATGTTTAAGTATTTGGGAAGTCTTGTTTCTCCCCTGCAAATGGGCCTGATTCTACAGAGTTTGTACATGAGAATGATCCCAGTGAACTCAGACTTTCTCCTAATACTGAAGTTAGCTGAGTCATTCATGTGAGACAAAGCTGCCTTCTACGCATCAACATCTCTACAGTGAGTGAACTCAATCCAGCTGAAATTCAACAGCCTCATGAACAGAGTAAGCAGGAAAAAGGACAGTCCCTAAACATGTACTAAATATATTGCCATGACAAATATATTTTATCTGCCTTGCAGATGGTGTGGGATTTTAGGAATGTAGACCCCAGGGTCTGCATCAGAGCACAAAAATGAGCTGGAGACAGTTTTGTGCATTTCTCATAGCTGCTGCTGCTGCATACAGCATTATGGCAACTGAGACAAATATTACAGATACAGAATGGTATAGGAAAACAAATATCCCTCTTGGGTCAAGTAAGATAGAACTTCCATGTGGAGGCAAGTGGTGAAGGAAATTCTGTCCATTAATTAGAGAAAACATAATTTGGCAATCTCCCCATTTAATATTATTCTGCATATGGTCTGTAGTCAGATACTCAGAATACTCATCAGAATAGCTGAACACTGAGAAATCATGCCTGTTCATAGTTCTTAAAACTCATGATGCAAGAGCTTGTGCACACAATTATCTTCTTACACATAAAGAACTTTCAAGATCTGATTCATCTTATTTTATCTGTCTAAAAAGTTATATATCTGAGATAAAATAATTGTTCAGGGTCCCTTAGTATTCAGTGGAGAGAGGCAAGCATATCCAGAAAGCAATAATTCCATCTACTTTAGGCAAATATTCTGGACTGAGATAAATGGTTCCTCTAAAGGTACCGTCCTGTATGTTCAACTTTACGTGACAAAATGTGTGATGAATCTCACACAGTGTAAGTTGCCTGATAAGAAACTTCTGTCATCATGTCTTTGTTAGCAAAATTATTTCTGCCATACTCAATACAGTATTATCTAAGTAACAGTGAAAAAATACCTGTGCTTCCTGACAGTTCTGTGAGCTAGAATACAATAACTCATGTCCTGAGTGTCCAGATGTGAGGAATGTTTTACAGTCAAGAACATCTCCTATTTTCTGAGAAACTTTTTTTTCGCTATTTTGTTTTTACAAGCAGTAGATAACCTTCTAAAGAACCTTGCATAATGGGCATGTACTGTCCGACAACGTTGCCTGAAATACCCTTTCCAGCAATTCAGCAGATGAGAATACTTTTCATTTGTGCAAACCACTGCCACTTATTGTGATGCTCATACAGTTTTTTTCTGGTAAGTTGTATGTCCTCATAATGAAGTTGGGCAACATAAAGCCTGTGTGCAAGACCTAATTACATCTCACATTGGGCAAGTCACTGAAAATAACCTTTCTAAACCTGAGTTCTTCACAGTTAATGTTAGCTATAGCACCCTTGCATTTAATATGTGGGAAATAATACTAAAAGTATTACTTTTATTAAAATACATATTTAAGAGTGTCTTGGTTTCAACAGGGATAGAGTTAATTTTCTTTCTGACAGCTGGTGTCGTGCCGTGTTTTGGATTTAGGATGAGAATAATGTTGATAACACACTGATGTTTTAGTTGTTGCTGAGCAGTCAAGGACTTGTCAGCTTCTCATACTGGCCTGCCAACGAGAAGGTGGGAGGTGCCCAAGAAGCTGGGAGGGGACACGGCCAGGACAGCTGACCCAAACTGGCCAAAGGGATATTTCATACCATATGACGTGACGCTCCATATATAACTGGGAGGTTGGCCAAGGGGTGAGGCAGCTCGGGGTCTTGCTGAGCATCTGAGCATCGATGTCAGGTGGTGAGAAATTGTGCTGTTCATCACTTGTTTATTATGATTATTATTATTATTATCATCATCATCATAATCATCACCTTCCTTTTCTGTTCTATTAAACTGTCTATCTCAACCCACGAGTTTTATTTTTTTTTCATTTTCAGTTCTCTCCCCTATCCCACTGGGAGGCGGGGAGTAAGTGAATGGCTGTGTAGTTATTTTAGCTGCCGGCTGGGTTAAACCGTGGCAAAAGAGATACCTGACAATCTTTCAAATATATGTGGAGAAAATGGCCTTTCTTATCTTCTTTTTTTTTCATAATGATAAGGCCCTGTAAAACTGTTAGTGTCTTTCCAGAACATGTAAGGAATGCACATATTAAAGAAATGTGCACAAACGTGTAAAAGAAAATGACTATAGGAAATTCCGAAGGTTAAGGCATTAATTTGAGATCTGAAAATTTAAGCCACCACTATTCTGGAGACTGCCTGGCTGGGCAAGCAAATGTCTTAGGCTCAAGATTAGTCTCAGCCTTCTGAGGAGTGCCATAAGATGTCCTGGCATCCTGGCTGTTCATCCAGGCTGGTGCGTAGTCAATGCATACAACAGTTCTTGTATAAATTTCCTTACACAAAAACAAGGATGAACAGAAAAGGGCCTGTTGCCCAGCTGAATCTTGCCTCCTGATATAGAGCTGGGATATAGCCTAAAGGCACCTAATTCCAGCAACTTGGAAAAGCTTTTGGATGTCTCATGATAGGCATACGCTTTTTCACCTTGCATCAGTTTCCATCAGTCACCTCTTTTATACTGAAATTTACAGTGTTTGCAGAACCTGGTTTGTAAGGCTCCTCTATTCACTTCGCACCAAAGTCTTGTGCTAAATATTTCTGAGGGAAAAAATCCTTGGTTCTTGAACTACTTGGCTAACTGACAAGAAAGATAAATCAGCAGTGTTCTTTGTCTGGCCAAAGACAGGCTGAGTTTCATTTTGTTTCACTCTTAAAATACCTTTTTTTTTTTCCAGAGCAAGAAAACTCTTTAAAATTCAAAGTAGATACACTTTTCAGCAGTTTATCTAGAATGAACAGCAGGATACAAGCTTCAGAAAGAAAGTTGCTTTCTCACTTATTTTTAAAAGCTGTTTTTTTCCTCCTCTTGAATGCTGTATTCTGCATTAAGTGAAGGATGATGATACCTTTCCTTTTACCGCAAGCAAACAAAGGTTGCCATGGCAAGCAGGCTCAAGAGGCGGAAGAAATATCAGCAAGAGCTGATGTTCATGTCCACCAGAGCTCTGAACTGAAATTTTCTTTCATCTTTTGCCATTTTCAAGTGTCGTCTTGTACACAACAAAGTGCTTCATATTGACATAGACTTTCAAATGTAATTAAGAGCCAATTTTCACAGGCTCAGTTTTACCCAATACCACAATAATTACTTGGTATTTACCAAGAGAATGACTGGCGCTTTCACACGTTCATGTTGTCTTTGCCTCATGCTCTCTTATTTGTATCATTATTGTTTCAAGAGCAAGACAAGAAGATCTGCAGCACAAATGACTTCATTGCAAGCAGGAACACAGAGCACTTTCGATTCTTGAAACTGACTGGTTTCTGATGAAAATTATGGGCAATCCAGCATTGTCAGCCTAGAAG